CCCAAAAAAAAACCACTCCTCTTGGAAAAGCAGTCCTCCCTCGGTATCCACAGGGGATCAGTGCCAGGACCCCCCAGTGGGCACCAACGTCCAATGATGCTCAAGTCTCCCATGTACAGCGGCGCTGCGTTTGCATGCAGCCTTCTCACGGGCAGCATGCCCCGGGGCCTGCAGACCTGTCCCTGGCTTCAGCTGTGTTTGTCGAAACAGAGCGGGGACTCCCCCTCTTCCAGCATCCACCACCCCACAGTCTCCTCTGCATTCACAACCTCCAGGGCCACTTCCCAGCCATCTTCTGCTTCCAGGACCAGCCAATACTTTTGTGTGTTTTTCCCTGTTTCCATCCAAACATGGGCTCCCACGTTGGCCAAAATTATTCCTCCGGGGAAAAGGCTGCTGTCCAGCACCTGGTCCATTTGCATCCTCAGGCCTCCTACACCTTCCTCTCTCTGGGCTTCTATTTCCACCCAACCACAAGGGTGGGAAGGGTCAGGCTGCTTCTTCTGCTCACTGGCTGAGAAGCACAAAGCTGCCCAGCACCTCTTTCACATGCAAAACCTACACCTGGGGTCATGCCCTTTTCCAGGCCACCCAGGAGCCTACTCTAGACACCCAGGATGAGCCCCAGATGCCACAGGAGCCACCTTGGCCCTGGAGAAGCTGAGCCAGGCCATTGGATTGCCATGCCTTCAGTTCTGCCCTCACCAGCCCCCATATCTGTGATGTCCTGGGAAGCCACTTCCCAGAAGATAAGGAAGTGAGATTCGTCAAGCAGATGGGCGATCACGTACCAACCCCAGCATCTCTCAGAAAAGCTCCCCCTCCAGGATGCCTAGGCGCTTCACCCTCAGAGCCTAGAGGCGCCTCAGCAGCTCCTGTATAATGGCTTCTCCACAGGCCTCCCTTTCCAGCCATTTTGCAGCTTTGTAACCACCCCAGAGCCAATGGACCAAACGGAAATACGGCTTTTTGCAGGAAAAAAAAAATAGCAACCTACATACATCCTCCCATACCCTTTAAACCATCTCTGGATAACTTATCATACCTAATGCAAGGGAAGAGCTATGCAAAAATAGTCAGTACACTGTGTGGCTATTGTTTAGGGAACAATGATGGAAAACAGCAAGCACAGAGGCATTTTTTTTTCTCCTGACATTTTTGCCACAGCTCCCATGGATTCAGAGGGCTGTGGGCCTCGAAGCCGTCCCCATGTCAGGAGACAGCTACCTCTTGCTGCCACGCATGCTGGCCAAAAAGAATGGAATCATCCTAGCCCTTCTTCTGAGTCTCATACCTCATCCCCAATCCAGCAGCAAATCCTGTCCACGCTGGGTTTGGAAGAGGGCCCAGCCTGACCGTTCCTCCCCATCACAGCAGCCTCTGGCTGACCAGCTCCTGCCTCACCCCTGTCACTCTGCTCTCCCCATGGCAGTCAAAGGTAGATCAAAGAATGGGTCTCCCTGGCTCAAAGCCCTCCAAAGATTTCCTGGTTCCTTGGACACCAAGTCCTGACATGGCCTAGGGGTTGCAGCTTTCCCAGACTTCATTGCCTGCAGAGGACAGGTAGAGGGGAGAGAAAAGAGACATGGCCTAGGAACCCTGGGCTCCTATAAACATGGGGTGACCCTGCTCCAGGAACTGGGAAGCAGAGAGCACCAGTGCTTCTTAAACAAAGCCTTGAGGTTAAGCACCAGGCAGGGGATGCTCAGAGTGTACCAGATCTTCAGAAGCAATTAGCACTGGGACTCCCTGGAGCTTGGCCACACCATTAACCCTTTGGCTTCCTGAGGCACCCAGAAGCCTGGGCGGAGGGGACAGGGACAGGAACAAGGCTTGTGTGGGCGGATGCAGGCCTCAGAGTCATCAAAACCCAAGGAGCTATGATATTGTGGCCTTCACTCTTTGCCCCATAACCCAGAAACGTGAAGCAAGCCTTCCTGTCTTCTTCCTCACATGTGGACACTCCCCCTTGGGGGACACTCCGGGGTACAGGTTTGGGAGCATGGGAACTTCCCCAAACTCCAGATTCTACAGCCATGGTGAAAGGCCACCCAAGTGCCAGGCAAATCCCAGCAGAGTAAAGACAGTTTAAAATCCACGTTGCAAGGCATATGCGTTCTGATCACCACCATCCTTCAACCTCTGATCTGCTGGGTTCAAGGAGAAAAATGACTATGGCTGCATGTGCAAATACACACCAACAGACAGACACATGTACACACCCCGGCATGCAGGATCAATAGAAAGACATGAGTATGGTGGAATGAGAAGGCCATGCCAAGATGGCCGCTGGCAAGTGAGCATCAGTTACTCAGGAATGGCTTTGAAACCCATCTGATGGCCGGCGCCGCGGCTCACTAGGCTAATCCTCTGCCTTGCGGCGCCGGCACACCGGGTTCTAGTCCCGGTCAGGGCACCAGATTCTGTACCGGTTGCCCCTCTTCCAGGCCAGCTCTCTGCTGTGGCCCGGGAGTGCAGTGGAGGTTGGCCCAAGTGCTTGGGCCCTGCACCCCATGGGAGACCAGGAGAAGCACCTGGCTCCTGCCTTTGGATCAGCGCAGTGCGCCCGCCGCAGCGCGCCGGCCGCGGCGGCCATTGGAGGGTGAACCAACAGCAAAAGGAAGACCTTTCTCTCTCTCTCTCTCTCTCTCTCTCTCTCTCTCTCTCTCCCCCTGTCCACTCTGCCTGTAAAAAAAAAAAAAAAAAAAAAAAAAAAAAAAAAAAACCGGAGCCTGCCTGGCAACAGGCTGTGATTGGATGGCTTCTGATACCGCCTGGCAACAGGTTATGATCCGTTGGGGCATAGACCGCCCCTTGACCAGATTGACTGGTCTTGACTATATAAGCTGTTGTACCAACTGAAATAAATGAGTCTGCGGGCTGCTCACCTCTGGCCCACTTTTACCCGACTCCTGGGGTCTGTGTGGTGACTCTGTGCCTCTTGCCCCCACCACGCTCCTCCTCTCAGAACAAGTCAACCTCAACATCTGGCGCGCCAACGTGACTGAGAAAGAGATAGCATGTGGGACTCAGCAAGGTCCCCCCTGGATTTCGGCAAGTAGGCCCCTCGGTGTTTTGTGTGCTGTTCGGTTCTGTGAGGATGAGCACAGAACCCCCTCCTACGCCCCTTTCCTTGTCCTTGTCCTCGGTCTAAGTGACCCCAGGTTAGGCACACACCGCCCAGAAGCATACACCGCTTCTTGGCTCTTCCTTTTACTTTCAGTTCACCTGGCGAATTCACATAAGGGACTGATCATCCTAGAATTCAGAACCAAGTCATCTTCCCTCACTCAAGAGAGGTGACGCTCCGGAGACACCGTGTGGGCATATGGCCTTGACCTAACTAATCAAGGAAGTGCCCCACTAAGCAGAGGACATACGTACGATCTGATGCACCATTGTCTGTTTGTCTAACGTAGGGAACCCCCGGCAGAATGCCATTAGCTGCTGAGGTGCTAGGAATTTGTTTTGTTATGGCAGCAGTACTGTGGGTATCTTTCCTTTGGCTAGAGTTGGTGTGGCGCACCGCTCTTAAACACTCAAACATGGGAAAAACACCCCCCTCTCAGAATCCCACGCAGATTACCAAACACAGTGAATCTGTGAGTGATAAGAGCCTGTCACTCCAGGTGTCTGCCTCACAGACAACAGTTGATGACTTAGGGAGAGAGACCTCCAACAGTGAAAATGACAATGTAGCAAACAAGGTAGCAAACAAGGCAGCAAACAATGTAGCAATGCCTAGTCAACCATCCCCCACATACCCGAGGGATGAACTTAGAGGACCTCCAGACAATAACTCATGTGAGGTCATTCCATCTGCACCCAGTGAGGATCCCCACATTTGTGGCAGCCCCCAGGCACCCCAGGCTCTCAGGGCAGCCGCTAGACCCCATCCCACCTGCATGTTTGCCGTTAATATAGGAGTGGACACAGAATTCAGGCCCTGGATTCCAACGCCCTTAGAAAGGCTTCTGCTAACCAAGGGTTGAGGATATGCTTGTGTCTTTCCAGAGAATGCAGGACAGCCCATTTGGGTACCAGCCAGAAACGTCAAGCCTGCAACTGACAGCCAACCAGAACCAGCTGAACAAGAGTGAGAGTCTGCCTTGTTAGCAGATGCACCTGCCCTATCATCCTACCCTGAGAATCTACCCATAGCCACATCCACAACTGTTTTATACTCCACTAGCTTTGGTCAGCCACTCGAACGGCCCACAGCCTGCGTGTGGTCATGCCATTCCTGATTACCACTGTTCCTCATTCCTACCCCCATCTGAGCAAGCACTCCTGTGGTCTCCTGTTTTGAGCTCTGGTTAGTCAACGACGGGTAAGATCCCCTGGGGGACAACCTAAGACAGGCATAGCTGCGTACAGAGACCACAAGGAAATGGGGTCAACAATGGTATGGCCAAGAATTATGCCTCCCATTGCTCAAAAATAAATGAAAAGGGGGAAACATGGTGGAATGAGAAGGCCATGCCAAGATGGTCGCTGGCAAGCGAGCATCAGTTACTCAGGAATGGCTTTGAAACCTACCTGGCAACGGAGCCTGCCTGGCAACAGGCTATGATGGGATGGCTTCGGATACTGCCTGGCAACAGGCTATGATTGGTTAGGGCATAGACCGCCCCTTGACCAGATTGGCAGCCTTGGCTATATAAGCTGTTATACCAACTGAAATAAATTATCTGCGGGCTGCTCGCTTCTGGCTCGCTTTCACCTGACTCCCAGGGTCTGTGTGGTGACTCCGGACCTCTTGCCTCCACCACGCTCCTCCTCTCAGAACGAATCCACCACAACACACAAGCATTTCCATATGGAGGTTTTCCATCTAGTTCCCCCAAATGCCCTACTCATCAATCCTACTTATTAGATACTTATGCACATCAAAAGGAATGGGGAAATTAAAAGAAGGTGGTCTTCTCGGGGACCATAAACCTTCCTCCCAAGCAAGCTTCTCTTCTCGGGGCCCCGGGTGTGCACTAGGGAGGGGGTACCTTGTCCGCAGGTTCTCCGGCTGGGGCGGGCCATCAAACACTGACAGAACATCGAAGTCCTCTTCCAGGGCAAAGGACTGGAACACGAGCTGGATCCTGTGCTGGGCCTGTGCGGTGATGGTCCATGTGCAGTTGGCATAGTTGGGGTAGCCATACGGGAATCCTGGGCTCTCCACCGTCCCGTTGGGACCTTGCAGCTGGAACGTGCAGTTCTGGCCTGGGAGAGAGAAAGGGCGGACTTCAGTGTAGGCCACAAGAACTCCTAGAAGCTTACAGAAGGATGGGAGCACCGTGTTAGGGACTCATTAACCCAAGTTCCACCTGCTCCCCTGGGGTCAGCCCTCGTAGAGGCTCAGCGACTGTGAACTCAAAGGCAACCCAAACCAGGCTGAACGTGGACTTCCCCTTTGTGGCATGAAATGCCAGAATGAGCGTTTCAAACTCCCTGCAGCCCCCTGCTTCCCACCATGGTCCCTCCCTCCACTCTCCAAGTACAGGGATCCCCATGTGTTCCTAGTTCCAAGCCCTCGCAGCTGGCCCCATGCTGTCTCCAGCCTCCCACAGAGGAACCGCCCCTTCCACACTCCAGACTCCCTTACTAAGAAACCAGCTCCCTACTCTACTCCCCCCCTGCCTCCAGTCTCTGCCCTGTCCTCTGCTTCACAGCCAAATGTGCTGCGAACACAAGCTGTCCACACTTTGTCTCCATCCCCTTACTTTCCAGGAGCTCTCCCACCATCAGCTCTGCCACGGGTCCTGCGGATCAACCACAGGTCTGGGAAGGCCACCAAAGGGATGTGTTTGTCTTGGTGTTAACTGACCACCTGCCCACTGCCTTCGATGATGAGGCTCCCACACCCCAGAAATGCCCCAGCCACAGCACCCCAGGCCTCACTGCACTGTATCCCCCGTAGTAGCCACAGCACCCCAGGCCTCACTGCACTGTATCCCCCGGAGTAGCCACAGCACCCCAGGGCTCACTGCGCTCTATCCCCCAGAGTAGCCACAGCACCCCAGGCCTCACTGCGCTCTATCCCCCAGAGTAGCCACAGCACCCCAGGCCTCACTGCACTCTATCTCCCGGAGTAGGGGTAGGGGTAGGGGTGTGGAACCATGCTCACAGGAGATTCTGGGAGACAGGTGTGTATGGAGGAGGAGAGGAGCCTGCAATGCAGCTGATGTCTGGGAACCACCCTCTGAGCAACCACACCCTCACACTCTCCTTCCTTCCCTTTGCTCTTCTTCTGTCTCCTCTTCTGGCTTGGGGTCAGTGTCTCCCCACCCTCTCCCTGTGTGCCCTGATGACCTGCAATGGCAAAGGCCAGGTCCAGCCTCTCCTTGGGACTCACAGGCTCCCGATGTCCTCCACCTACTGTGCCCCTTCCGCTGTTCCCTCTCTCCACCTCTGTGTCTGAGTGAGGCCCAGATAGATGCTGACAAGACACCTCTGTCACATCCCCACCACACACACACACACACACACACACACACACACACACTCCAAGCTCTTTCTGGCCTTTGCAAACCCATTCTTCACACTTCAGCTAGGTGTATCCTTGCAAGACTGAAATCTTATCAGATCACCCCACCTCCCATCTCCCTCAAACCCTCAATGGCTCCTCATTGACCTTCAATAAAGAGTGGGGGGGAAGTAAGGTCTACAAGGGACTCTGCACTTTCCAGCAAAACCCTGCTGTCATCAGTCCTACACCTCAACACCTCTTGGTTCTCTCTGCCTAAAACCCTTGTCCTTCCTGTCCCTCAGACCCACACCAGTCACCTCTTGGACTGGGCCAAGCCCTCTGCCATGCGCTGTTGCAACCCCAGACCTCTTGCTGGTAGCACTTAGTACAGAAGCAACTTGAAGAGTTCTTCACAGTTGTTTCAGGGGTGTCTTTTCACAGCGTTATCTCCTGGAGCACAGAGACCATGGTGAGTCCCCCCAAGTTTAAACCCAAGCCCCAAGCTCTGTACCAGGCACAGGGCAAGTTCTCAATAATCTAGTTCCTGTATTTATCTGATCTTTGTTCAGACACGCTTCTGGCCACTTTGCCTATGTTGCCTGGTTTTATCCTCACAACAGCCCTGCTGACACCATCAATCTCATTTCTGTTTCATAGACAAAGCATGAAGGTGAAGAGAAACTAAGGAACGAGGTCCAAGGCACCATCACTCAGAGGTGGAATTTAAACAGGCACAGTCCATTTTGGACCCATTCTCTTCCCCCACGATGCTGAGAAATGGACTTGACACTAATGTTTGAAAAAGCCACTGTAGGGATTAACTAACAAAAGACAGTTAAGCCCGGAAATGATTTTAATATTAAGAAATCTCTTAACAAAGTATCCCCTTAAAGGAGAAAAAAAAAGTTAAAATCTTTCGAATTGCTAAATAAGTATTTAATAAAATTAGCCATGCAATGCTGATTAAAATAAGCATTCAGTGCTAGAGAAAAAGAATATTCCCTAGTCATAATAAAGCATAGATTTAGGACAATATCCAACATCGTCCTTTTGGCAAAAAAACCTGATTAAGATCAAAACCAAGACAGAGAGGCCCCATCACCTCTGAGATTCCAAGTCTTACTGCAAAGGCTAGACCCTATGACACAGAAAAAAGAAGTGAGAAAGTAGGAAACAAAAATATGATTTGCAGATGATATATTAATGTATCTAGTAAACCCAGGAGAATCCATTATAAAGCTATTAGCACTAATAAGAAATTTCAGCCAAGTAGTCAAATGTAAAATAATTTACAAAAACCAGTAACATTCCTGTGTGCCTATAACAGATAAAACATAAAAGAAAAAAGTCTTGTTTACAGTCACTACAAAATGCACATAACACACAGAAGTAAACTTATTAAGAAATCTGCAGGCATTACATGAAGATGAATTTTACAGGGGGATTAAGAATTCTGAATAACTGGATAGACACAGCACCATCTTGAGCAGGAAGACTAACTACCGGAAGGTTAATTTATAATATTAACCTCTTGGAAAGTCATTGAAAAGTTAATTTATAAGTTTAATGCAATTCTGATCAGAAGCCCAATGAACCTGTTTTAAAGTTGGTAAAATGATACCTAAGTTGAACTGGAGAAATAGATTAGCTCAGACAATGCATTCAAAAGGAAAAAGCAGTGAAGTGAATAGTCTCCTCCTACGAGACACAAATGACACCCACGAAAACAGCGTGGGAGAGGCCTGGGAGTTGGCAGGTATTGCAATGGCCTTATTTCACTAAAAATTAAAACATACATAAGGGAACATTTTTTAAAAAATCAATGAGAGAAGAAAAAAGATTTTTACAGGTCAACTAATTAACTGTGTGGGAAAGAAATTAAGTTATCGTCTCAACTCACACCACAGGCTAAAATAAATTCCAAATGCAGTCAAGAGTTGAATGTTAAAAAAATCAAGACATAAAACAATTAGAAGAAAATATAGGTAAGCAAGTATCTATGACTTTGTGAATATAAAGCCTATGGGAGATACTACAAGACTGATGGTTTTTAAATAAAAACCATATGTACACCAAAATTACAAACAAAATCAAAATGCATACAAAAATGTTACAAAAGTAATGGCTTCTATATAGAAAGGGCTATTACTCCACAGTGGCACAGGCGCCAGGTCTACTGGGTTCACATCCCTACAAACTTGCCTGGTGGCACTACTGCATCACGTCACCCAACAATTCAGTCCTCTCAGACACTATGGTAAGGCGTGGGGCTCGGATCATAGACCAGCCTTAAGTAAACACATCCTGGGGGCAGTGTTGTGCTAAAGGGGTACACACAGACGTTCTGGGGCTACATCTCAATGGCCACCTTCGTTCACATTCTGGACAGTCATAGACCCCAACATTGCCACCATCCCCAGCTTCCCAGATTCTGGCCTCTGCTATCTGGGATTGTGATTCACAGTCTGGTCATGAACAGTACCTCTCGCTCTACAGAGAGAAGTGAAGGGGTCTCAGAAGAGAGCCCCAGGGAAGATTTTTCACTAAACAGACAGTAAAGGTGAGAGAGTAAGGAGCAGGAGGCCAGGCCCAGTGGTGGGAGGAGACCCAGAAAACAGTGCACACAAGAGAAGCTGACACAAGAGAGAGCCTCAGATAGGGGTCGTAGATGAGGTCACTCGGTGTAGTGTCTAACTGTTCTCTCTTGAAGCAAGAAGGTGGAGAACGAGAGCTTCGTCCTGGCCTGGCCACATCCCCAGCATCTAGAATTCAATAAGTATTTGCTGAGCGGACACATCAATTTGAGCATGGGCAGGTGGGGAGGGGCAAGGGAGATGCAGGCTTGGCTGGTGAGAAGGTGGAAGGCCGCTGTGGTTTGCACAGTAATAACGCACATCTGACACATTGCAGACAACATAGAAAAGACAGGCAAGATTTAGAGAGAGGATGCTGTGTTCATCTCCCTTTGCTTCCAGAGGCAACGGCTGTTAATATTTTCATTTATTTTTTCTTGATTTTTCCATGCGCATTTCCCACTGTAGAAATAATAACGCACCCTGTATAAATTTTGTGTGTGCTCTTTTCTCAGCTATGCTTCAGTCCTAAATTGCAAAAGGCAACACACACTTGTAATATCCACAGATATGCATGTGCACAAGGCAAGCAGAAAGATTTATTCCAGCTCCCTCCCCTTCCCCCAGTGCAAAGTTATGGAAGGTGACAGACAGGTCCGCGGCCCTTCCCTGCCTTCCCCTTGCTCGTGCAAACATATGGACACATTCAGGGAGGATTTGTATTGCTTTGTTTTAAAAATGAGATCGCAGTTGAGCTCATTTCTCTGCAACTTGCTTTCTCCCTTAACAATCCATTAGGGACACCTTCTGGGTCAGCAGATACAGATCTAACTTATTTTTTACATAAATGTACAATATTCCACAGCATGGATATGTCTCCACTTACTCAACCACCCCCTGTTGGTAGCTGTTCGGGTCATTTCTCTTGGTTTTCTTTTGTAACAATTCAGTAAACATTAGCTATACCATGAGCTTTCCCCAGCATATTGAATCTGCTCATAAACAGCATTTTAAGTGGAAGCCCAACATTCCAATATACAGCTACACTGGAATTGACTCAGCTATTCTCCTGTTGTTAAATATTTAAATTTCTTTCTAGATCTTCCTCCACCCAGTTATAAATAAGACCTGGGTCCTCAGTAAGGGTTGAGGGCAGGACGTGGTGGGTGCAGTAGAAAAAG